GTGGTGGCACACGGCTGTAATCCCAGCTACTCAGGAAGCTGAGGCAGCAGAATTGCTTGAACTCAGGAGGCGAAGGTTGCAGTGGGCTGAGATCGAGCCACTGCACTACAGCCTGGGCAATAGAGTGAGACTCCGTCTCAAAAACAAAAACAAAAAAAAGAGAAAAGGAAAGAGGCCAGGTGCGATGGCTCACGCCTCTAATCCTGGCACTTTCGGAAGCCAAGGCAGGTGGACCACTTGAGGCCAGGAGTTCGAGACCAGCCTGGCCAACATGATGAAACCTGTATCTACAAAAAACACAAAAATTAACCCGGTATGGTGATGCATACCTGTAGTCCCAGTTACTTGGGAGCCTGAGGCATAAGAATCACTTGAACCCAGGAGCCGAAATCACGCCACTGCACTCCACCCTGGGCAACAGAGTGGAGACTCTGTATCAAAAATAAATACAGAAATAAATAAATTTTTTTTTTAAAAAAAGAAAGAGACTTGCTGCCCAGCTCCTTCTCCAGGGGTTACCTGCCTGTTCCCCAGTTTCCTGCCTGCAGCTGTTAGAGCCTTGAGGGTTTGCTTCTGATTTTGCTGAGGTGGCACCTGCTGGGGTGTCCGCAGCCAGTGACTGAGTCAGGCAGTAGTACCAGGACCAGCCACCTCTGCCCCGTCAGGGCTCCTGTACTGGCCACTCTTTCCTCCCAACTCGCCAAGCTCTCCCTCGGCTCAGCAGGTGCTGTGTCAGGTCCACATCTTGACCAACAGCTCCAGCCTAATCCGCTTCCCCCAGGTTTCCTCTCACGGGTGTTACCCTCCCATTAACTTTCGTACCCTCAGTTCCAGCTCCTCGGCGTCTCCTTCCTGGAGAAACCAGCCCACAGCCCTCTCACCTGGCCTTTCTTTTTAAAGTTTTTAACTTTTTTGAGACAGGGTCTCATTCTGTCGCCCAGGCTGGCGTACAGTGGCGCAATCTCGGCTCACTGCAACCTCCACCTCCCAGTCTCAAGCCATCTGCCCACCTCAGTCCTGAGCTGTGACTACAGGTAAGTGCCACCACACCTGGCTAATTTTTGTATGTGTTGTAGAGATGAGGTTTCACCATGTTGCCCAGGCTGATATTGAACTCCTGGGCTCAAGTGATCTGCCCACCTCAGCTTCCCAAAGTGCTGGGATTACAGACATGAGCCACCATGCCTGACCCAGCCTTTATTTTTATTTATTTATGTATTAATGTATTTATTTTAGAGAGAGGATCTTGCTCTGTCACCCAGGCTAGAGTACAGTGGCAAGATCACAGCTCACTTAACCTTGAATTCCTGGGTTCAAGTGATCCTTCCACCTCAGCGTGCTGAATAGCTGGGACTACAGGCACATGCCACCATGCCCAGCTAATTTTATTTTTAGTAGAGACAGGGTCTTACTATGTTGTCCAGGTTGGTCTCAAACTCCTGGCCTGAAGTGATCCTCCTGCCTTGGCCTCCCAAAGCACTGAGCTTATAGGCGTAAGCCACCGCACCTGACTTCACTTGGCCTTTATTGATGACAGGCAGGAAAGTCAGAGAGGGTTCATTTATTCACTCAGCAAATACCTGAGTAGGATGTGTAACACCTTGCCTAAGACCATGGGTTCTCCAACCTGGGTTTGTATGAGGGCTCTGCTGGGACAGTGGGCATGTTCTCTAACTGCCCTGGTCCTCAGTTCCCTGGCTATAAAGCGGGGACACTCACTAAACCTGGTCCAGAGTGTTGCTTTGAACATCACACACACAAACTGCTCAGCACAATGCCCAGCACACATTCAACTATTAGGAATTTTGTCTGCTGTTATTTTCAATTTCTTGGTGCATTCACTTCAAGGTTTTGGGGATATTCAGAAATTAGAATGCCTGGTCTGACAAGCATCGGGGAGGGATGGTACCAAGAAGACTGAGGATTTGGAGTGGTGAGATCTGGGGGTTTCAGGGTGCATGGCTGCTATTCTCATGAACTTATATGGCTGGCTGGCTGGCAAAGCGGAGGCTGCATGTGTTGCAATCTCTGCGTCGCTGTTCGCAGGAGGGGGCTGCCGACCCCAGCCCATATAAAAGAAGCCTCTATCTGCTCTGCTCATTTGTGCCTGAGGCAGCTGCCGTCAGACAGAGTGGACCCTTGGTTCTGAGGCACTCATCTGAGCAGGGAGATACCTTCATCCCCGGGCGGAGGAACAGCCCCATGGAGACACCAACACCCTTTCCCCAGCCACAACCAATATCTTAAAAGTGAGGTGTCTGCCTCACACTCGGCTCCTGGGAACAGGAAGTGGTGCAACCACTTTGGCAAACAATTTAGCAGCTTTTCACACTGTCAAACAAAGAATCACCACATGCAGGCGTGCGCGGTGGCTCACATCTAATCCCAGCACTTTGGGAGGCCGAGGCGTGTGGATCATCTGAGTTCGGGAGTTCAAGACCAGCCTGACCAACATGGAGAAACCCCATCTCTACCAAAAATACAAAATTAGCCGGGCGTGGTGGCACGCACCTGTAATCCCAGCTACTTGGGAGACTGAGGCAGGAGAACCACTTGAACCCGGGAGGCGGAGGTTGTGGTGAGCCAAGATCACACCATTGCACTCCAGCCTGGGCAACAAGAGTGAAACTCCATCTGAAAAATAAATAGGTAGGTAGATAAATAAATAAGAATCACTACATAACCCTACAACTGTACATACCCAGGAGAAATGAAAACATATGTCCACATGAAAACACGCACAAATGTTCATAGCAGCATGATGTGTAACTGTTCAAAAGTGGAAACAAGCCACATGTTCATCAGCTGGTGACAGATATGCAGCATCACACGGTGGCACTGCATTTAGCCCTAACGGGTGCACCATGAAACCAAGAGACGCGCTACATGAAGGGGCTGGGCATAGAAGGCCATCTACTGTATAACTCCAAGTATGGGAAATGCCCAGAAAAGGCAAATCCACCAGGACAAAAAGGACACCAGTGGGTGCCTGGGACTAGAGGAAGGAGGATAGAGAAAGGCTGCTAATGGGCATAAGGTTTCTTTTTTTCTTTTTTTTTTTTTTACAACCTCCGCCTCCCAGGTTCAAGCGATTCTCCTGCCTCAGTCTCCCAAGTACCTGGGATTACAGGTGCACACCACCATGCTCAGCTAATTTTTTTTTTTTTTTTTAGTAGAGAGGGGGTTTCACCACGTTGGTCAGACTGGTCTCAAACTCCTGACCTCAAATGATCTGCCTGCCTTGGCCTCCCAAAGTGCTGGCATTACAGGGATGAGTCACCATACCCAGCCGGAACTGTACACTTCAAATGGGTGAATATTACAGAATGTAATAAATAAAGAACCTTAATAAAGCTGTTAGACACATAAATAAATAAGGCACGAGTTCCGGTTCAACCCAGCACAGAAGGGCCAGATTCCGAGGTTCCACGGTGTGTGGGGAAGGCCATTTGTTTTTTCTTTTTTTTTTTGAGACGGAGTCTTGCTCTGTCGCCCAGGCTGGAGTGCAGTGGCCGGATCTCAGCTCACTGCAAGCTCCGCCTCCCGGGTTCACGCCATTCTCCTGCCTCAGCCTCCCGAGTAGCTGGGACTACAGGCGTCCGCCACATCGCCCGGCTAGTTTTTTGTTATGTTTTAGTAGAGACGGGGTTTCACCATGTTAGCCAGGATGGTCTCGATCTCCTTACCTCGTGATCCACCCGTCTCAGCCTCCCAAAGTGCTGGGATTACAGGCTTGAGCCACCACGCCCGGCCGAGAAGGCCATTTGTAAACACGCTCTGCCCCAAATGCAACAAGGCTCCCAGGGCAAATGGGGTTTCCATGTTCTGGTGCTTGGGAAAGACAAACACATATTCGTGTCCATTCGCGACTGCCTGTATCAACGAGATGAGCCACCAGAAATGTCTCAGGCACCATCCTCCCCACCCAGCTCCTGGTACCTGTTGGAAAAGCCTGGGGCAACCCTGCACTGGCACGCCTTCTTCTCACCTGGCCCATGCTCTGTCCCTTCTGCTGCACACATTGCCACATACCCAGGTATGGGCTTCACCACCAGGGTCTGCCTCGGCGGGCCTGTGTGGGTGCCTGCCGGCTTCCGATGCACATCATTTCTTGCCACACAGAGCCTCAATCCAGCCTGTGCGCTCAGGGTGGTGAAGGCAGCGACATAAGGAAAGGATTACGGTGTTAACAAGTCGGAACTGAACGCGAGTAAAAATAACCACGTGCCCTGGCAGAACGCTTTCCATCTGACAGCGAGGATGTCTTGGTGCACGGACGAGGGTCCCCCGCGGCGCTGCTGGGTGAGGACAGGCTTTGGAAGGCCTGACACACCTCTCCCGACATCTGCACCGCTCCTTTATTTACATGACCTCATTCCCGGGCTGTGGCTCTGCCCAGCAGCCGCTCGTGCAGCATCAGGCAGGCGTAAAGACAAGTGCCCAGCCTGGCTGGGACGCGCCCGTAGGCCTCTTGAGTAACCATGGCAACTCTCTAGGACGCACCCGGCATCCTTTGCATGAAGTCAAGAGAGGATACAATGTAAGAGGAGAGACCCTTGAAGAAGAAGCTGCTTCCTTCCCTCATGCCCAGTGCCAACCTCAGGTCGGTCTCCATCTGGACATCTGCAGAGCATGAGCTCCAAGTGCAGAAATCGTGTCTGGGCTTCGTCCCCTCCTGCCGTTCACTACCTCCTCCCCCTGCCCCAACCTGAAGGCTGAGCACAGAGGACCACCAGGGAGGAGGCCCGGACATTGAGCACCCAGGGGTAGTAGCTGGCAGACTCAGCCAAGAATCCCAGCCCTGTCATGTGCTGGCTGTATGATGCTGGCTGTCACCTAGCCCAGGCTAAGCGCCTGGTTTCCTCCACTTCGAAGGTGCAGCACCATATCCGGAGGGCTGCGGAGGGGTTCGGGGAGGAAATGCGTGGCCGGCTTGGGTACCAGGTCTGGCACAGAGCAGTGGGACCGGACAGGTGGACACTTAGTAAGACAGTGGTGGATTGACTTAGAAGAGGCCTTTCATCGTTTACTTTCTATCCAAGTAGAACACAGGGCTGGCGAATGCTGCCCCACTCCAGCCATTCCTGAGCCCCTAAAGCCCAGGAGCCCCTCACAGTCACCGGGAGAGAAAAGCTACTGGCCTCCTGCTGACGGCTGTCTTCTGTTCCACCAGGATCTCTCAGCATTTTATCCTGCATTCTGAGGTGGCAGTGCCAGGGCTGGCCCTATCAGAATCTGACATTTTGAAAGCTGGTGTCTGGGTCTGCCCAGGTTCTCATCAGCTTCGCCCCGCTGTCCCTCCAGCTGCACCTGGAAGTGGGGCCGAGGCTGCCCGCTGGGTGCTGGAGTTGAACACGCTCCTCTTTCATTTTCCAAGGAACTTCCCGTCACACAGGGTTCATCACGCGGGGAAACTCGGCTGTTGGGGTGGGAAGGGGAGAAAGGGAGGTGGAAAGGGGACAGGAGGCAGGAGGGAGAGACAGATTGGAAGAGGGAAGAGGGTCTGAGGACGCCTGAACTTCAACCCACTGGTGCTCATCCAGCCTCCTGGGAAAACAGCCCTGCAGAGCCCCGTGCAGGAGGAAATGGATTTTAACTGGATTCAAAGAGAGCAGATCAGACCTCCATGAGAATTCCTGATTGTGCAAGATCGACTCAGCCCTCCCTCTTCACCTTACTGTCCAACCACCCCTGTGGTTCCCTGTGCCCCGAACACCCTCCCTGGGCCTCACTGTCCCATTCCCTGCCTGGAAGGCCTCAGAACAAAGCTGGTGCTGAGCCTCCCCACCCGGTGCACCTGTGCCCTCCTGAGCTCCCTCCCGGCTGCCGCTGTTGCACCTGTGCGGTTGGAGGGTCTTTCTCAGGGGAGGGGGCCTGAGGAAGGCCTGAGGCCTGCAGGGCTTCCCCAGTCCCCTCTCCTGTGCCAGATCCTGAATGAGGGGAGGGGGACGGTTGAGTCGTGTCTCACCAGCACTCGACCACACTTCAGACCACTGACTTATTTTATCTGTGGACCACCCATCGTTAACCCCCTGGGAATTAACTCAGCTGTTTCGTGTGGCTCCTGCTGAGCAATGACACCTGTGAGATCAATGGCTGTGCCAGTCATTCTTGCTCAGGGAGACATTAGAGTCACATGATGGTTTTCTGTGGGGGGGGGGCACCCTTACCTGCTGCAGGATGCTGGCCTGTGCCACCCCAGCTAGATGGATGACGCAACGTAGAGCAGGGTCCTGCCTCCGTGTCTTCCCACCTGTCACTGGGGACCGCAGCAAGCTCCTACATACGCAGAGCGAGCATGTAATGAGTGGCTTGTGGCTGCAGCACAAACCTCTCCAGCTGCCCCTATGGCCCTCCCAGTGCCCTCTGCACATGCCCTCTGTTCCTACATGTTCGTCCAGAGTAGACCCTGGTTACCCTCACAGGCATGATCTTCTGGGGTCCTCAAGTACACCACTGAGATGGGCAGGCAAAAGGAGAAACTGAGGCAGGTAGTCCAACTGGCCCAGGGTTTCCCAGAAGCCCCAGCTCGTTCCTCTAGATCCTTGGGCTCCCTGGTCTAAAGCCTGGTGATAACCAGGTGGGTGGGCTGTTCAGACCCGTGCACAGTACAGCGCTGCTTATAGTGGAGGAATTGGATACACGTGCCCCAGCCTGGAAAACAAGCCATGCCAGTGAATATCCAGGTCGACTTAAGCCTGGCACAACTGCTTGCCTTCTCAGACCTCTCCCAAGTGCCCTCCACTTTGGGCAGGACACCAAGCAATGAACGGCGGGGCCTGCATTCCTGGACCTGGGCACTACATATATTTTTAGCCTCTGCCTTCCTGGGCATTTGCAGGGTGGTTAATGTTCTCAGGGAGCCACCAGCTGCACACCCATGGGCTGGGCGGGCACTCGGAGGCCTCTGGGAACTGCACCCTCCCTGCTTTCTGTTCTGGGGCTCAGAAGCCAGCTCGTCTTTCAAGGTAGAACCAGCTCCTGGCCGGGCGCGGTGGCTCAAGCCTGTAATCCCAGCACTTTGGGAGGCCGAGACGGGCGGATCACAAGGTCAGGAGATCGAGACCATCCTGGCTGACACGGTGAAACCCCGTCTCTACTAAAAAATACAAAAAACTAGCCGGGCGAGGTGGCAGGCGCCTGTAGTCCCAGCTACTCGGGAGGCTGAGGCAGGAGAATGGCGCAAACCCGGGAGGCGGAGCTTGCAGTGAGCCGAGATCTGGCCACTGCACTCCAGCCTGGGTGGCAGAGCGAGACTCCGTCTCAAAAAAAAAAAAAAAAAAAAAAAGAACCAGCTCCTGCTAGTGAAGCATGCACCCCAGCCCCAACACAGCCAGAAGCTTGTGGCTCAGAAACTAGCAGGCATGAAGTACAGGATCTATGACCTTGGATTTCCTTACTTGGAAAGTGGGGTGGGGTGGGGGATAGGACTTTGACTCCACACGAGATCACCAGGCCAGGTCACTCAGGAGACCTGGTTGGCACCTCCTCCTGACAGGTGCACCCTGTATGTCCAAGTGAGGAAGGCTGTGCTATGTTGAGAAGCAGAGTCCGGGTCGTGCTTCCCAGGGCCAGATGCCCCGGTCGCTGGACACCTCTCTTCCCAAATGTCCCAGTCACTGGAGACCTGTCTTCCCTGGGTCACGCTTCCCAGGGCCAGATGCCCCGGTCGCTGGACACCTCTCTTCCCAAATGTCCCAGTCACTGGAGACCTGTCTTCCCTGGGTCACGCTTCCCAGGGCCAGATGCCCGGGTCGCTGGAGACCTCTATTCCCCGGGTCGCGCTTCCCAGGGCCAGATGACCCAGTTGCTGGAGACCTATCTTCCCTCAGCTGGGCTGACTCCATGGCTTTGCTGTCTCTGTTCTCTTCCTGCACACGACACTCCAGGAGCCAAGGAGCAATTCTGGAATGTACAGGTCAATCTTGGCAGATGAAACTGAATTTTCCCTCTTCTCTTCTGCTTCCTGTGTCCTCTTCCTTAAACCCATCACTGTTCTCTTACTGGCCATTGCTGGGCTCTGGTGGGAGCAGGTTGGCTTCACCTTTGTGAAGAGAAAAAGAGACAGTGTGCTGCAGCCCCAAGCCTGTGGAGGATGCCACCAGGCCAGACTGCAACTTCCCTGTGTGTGACTCCCCGTGCTGGGCCTCTGTTTCCCCTTCTGTCAAATGGGGAGTCACAGCACCTAACCTGCAGGGCAGGTAAGATCTTCTCAGCATAGTCAGAAATACATTTTAGGTCCTTACCAAGTCCACACTTACACAAACAGGTGAAATAAATATTTCACAAAATAATACTTACTTTCACCATGTAAGATAGTTATTTTTTTTTTTTCCTTTAGAAAGAGGGTCTTGCTGCCACCCCTGAGTGCAGTAGTCCGACCACAGCCCATTGTAGCCTCCAACTCCTGGGCTCAAGTGATCCTCCCACCTCTGCCTCCACCTCCCCAGGAGCTGGAACTACAAATATGTGCCCCCACATTCGCCTTATTTTTTAAAAGGTTTTTTGTAGAGATGTGGTCTCCATATGTTGCCCAGGCTGATCTCTAACTCCTCGCCTCCACTGATCCTCCCGCCTCAGCCTCCCAAAGTGCTGAGATTACAGGCATGAGCCACCCACCACGCCTTCTGATATTTTCTATCTTACTCGATTTCATTTTTATTTATTATTATTTTTCTTGAGACGGGGTTTCACTCTGTCGCCCAGGCTGAAATGCAGTGGTGAGATCTCTGCTCACTGCAATCTCCACCTCTCAGACTCAAGCGATTCTCCTGCCTCAGACTCCCGAGTAGCTGGGGATTGCACGTGCCTGTCACCACGCCCGGCTAATTTTTTTGTATTTTTAGAGTAGAGACAGGGTTTTACCATGTTGCCCAGGCTGGACTTGAACTCCTCACCTCAAGTGATCCGCCCGCCTTCGCCTCCCAAAGTGCCGGGACTACCGGCGTGAGCCACCGCGCCCAGCCTATTTCATTTTTATAGTCACCACCCACTATTTTTTTTTCCGGGTCCCAATATTGGTCCCTGATCTGATGATATTCACAGTCAAGACGGTGGCAAAAAAAAAAGCACACACCGCGCGCCCTCGGTCACTAATCACGCAGAGTACACGCGGGGAGGGCCCGCGGCTAAGCGACTGAGGGCGGCCGAGCTTCCTCCACGACCGGGGAGGTGGGCAAGGCCTCCGGGCCGCAGCCCCGGGGACGAGCGGAGGCCTCCGATAGCCAGTCAGAATTTATTTTAAGGGAAATGGAAAGCTGCGGCCGGCTTTGAGAGGAGGAGCAGGATTAAAAGAGAAAGTGTGCTCAGCATGTTATATTTGGAGGCTGCCACGCCGGAAGCGCCGCCTTCCCGGGAGCTGCCGCTGTGGCCGCCCCCCGCTGGCACCTGGGCACCGGGGCGGGAGTCCTGGGGCTCCCCGGGAACACCCGGCGCCCAGGGCCTCCGCCGCTCCCCGGTCCCCCACGAGGGTGAGAGCTAGAGGCCCACCTGGCGCAAAATAGGGGAGTCGTCCGGACCCCACTTCTGTAGGAAGAGAAACTGAGGCCAAGGGGGCAAAACCCCAGTGTTCGCGGCGCCCAGAGTCGGGGCCGGGACCGGCACGCGCGGGGGCGGGGCCTGGCGCTACTCTCCGGCCCCGTCCACTGAGCGTGCAAACCGCAGCCGCCCACCCACGCGCACGCGCGCTCCGCCCGGGCCGCTTCCCAGCCCTCACCCCGCCAGCCGAGTCTCGTGCTCCCAGCTCCGCCAGGGGCCCGCCGGGAGCCGGCCGAGGAGGGGCGGAGCGCCGGGGAGACCCGCCCCCGGCCAGCGACACCTTGCTGCGCAGGCGCGGCGCGCGGGCCCGCCCCCCAGCTGGCGGCACGGCCATATTTAAAGGACGGCGGGCGCGGCGAACCAATGGGCGGCGAGCGTGAGGGGGCGGTGCGTGGCAGCGCAAGGCCCCGGATGTGGCTGCGGCGGCTCCTCCTCCTCCGCGCTCCTCTCAGAGCTCCGGCCGCGCGCCCCTCCTTGGTTCGCTCGGTGCCCGCGCAGGCCCCTCGGGCGGCGGCGACGAGGCGCCTAGGCGGAAGCGGCGGCGGGCGGAGGAGCGCAGGAACGGGCGGCCAGGCCACCGCGCGGCTGCGGAGCGGGCCGCGGCCCGGCGCTCGTCCCCCACCGCGGCCCGACGCACCCCGGCCGGCGCCATGAGCGGCTCCTCAGGCACCCCGTATCTGGGCAGCAAGATCAGCCTCATCTCCAAGGCGCAGATCCGCTACGAGGGCATTCTCTACACCATCGACACCGACAACTCCACCGTGGCGCTTGCCAAAGGTAGCGGCCGCCGCCCGCCCTCGCGCCCGCCGGCCCCAACCGCCCGAGCCCGCGGAGCCCGCCGACCCCCGTCCGCCAACAGCCCCGGCCCGCGCCGCCCTCCCCGCCCCGGGGCGCCCCCAAGCCCGGCGTTGAGACTCCCGTACCGCCCCGGAGCCTGGCGCCCAGACCCCGCCCGGAACCCACCCAGGGCACCCCTAGGCCGAGATCTCCTGCCCGCGCCTTCAGCCCGGACGCCCCCCGGGCGCCCCCTCCCGCGCGCCGCCCTTCCCCAGGGCAGCCGGCCGCACAATGGTCTCCCTAGGCTCCCAGGGCGGCGTTATTGTGCGCGGGCGCCGGGCGGTGTTTGGTGAGGGGCGGGCCCGGCCCCGGCGGCGCCGCCCCCTCGGCCGCCCAGCCCACCTCTGCAGGTGCCAGCTCCGAGGGGCAGGGCGGCTCCCGTCTGCGGGCCTCCTCCCCGCCAGCCTGGGGAGATTCCTGCGGGGGAGCCTCGAGGTCGGGCGGCGGGGCCAGTGTCCCGGCCTCTCCCGAAGGCTGGGGGCGGGGTCACAACACGCGAATCCTGCAAGCCTTTCTGGAACCTATTAGACAGCTGGGGCCTTGATCCTGAACAAATACTGCGTCCTAATGCAGCCTCCTGCCAAGGCGGAAGCATCCGTTTGGCAGCCAGATGCCCCGGTTTAAACGGTTGTCCTGCTGTATCCTGACGTTCACATTGTGGGGCTTACCTTTTGGTGACAGCCGCCTGTGGGCGCTGATAACCCGCTGTAGCCGCTGGGAGACTTACAGGAAAGGGGCTGTTCTCTAGAATCAGAATCTCTGAGGTTGTTGAGACAGCGGGTGGTCCAGAGTTTCTTTGTCTTCATCACCCAGAGAAGATGGGGAGTGCACTTCCCCTGCCTCTCAAAGTGCCGGTGGAGCCATGTCTGCCTAAGCCCACGTGTGCTGGATCTGGTGCTCGGCTCCCAGGGGTTCTTGAAGTGTCTAGACGCGTCTGAAACGCTTCTTAAGTCACAGGGAGCCGCAAGTGTAGAAGAAGAACTCGTTCCAAACAGGGAGTGTCTCCTGCGTGGCTCCAGGAGCTCGCTGAGCATGCCAGGGCTGTGCACTCACTTGCAGCCGTGGGACCTCACTACACTTATTACAGGAGAGCCCAGTTAGAGAGACAGCCCAGAGTAGGCCCAGGAGTTAGTAGGAGTTGTGCTCTTATGAGTTAGAGGCTGCTGTCCCACCCAGCTCTGCCCCTAGAGGCTTGCTAAAAGGAGATTTGGTAGGGCTCTGGAAGCCTGCTGGTTAGGGGTTAGTGGGCTCAGAATTCCTTATAGGTGCGGAAGCCGGGGTCAGAGGTCCACAATCTTGGGACCCTGTCTCCCTTTGTTTTCTGTTACAGCTGTTCCAAGGTTTGCTGTGGATAAAAGGGTAAGGGGAACACTCATGTAGGTTCCTTTGTGAGAAAACTGCCTCAGGTGCAATGTGTGGTGAGGCTTTGGGCATAAAGCAGCCAGCTGGCTGTTTGATCTACAGAGTCATAGGTGAACAGGGAGGCCTTGCGAAGCAAGCCTTGTTTTGCTGAGAGCTCTGTACGTTGGTGTGTTTGCACATGAGACAGTCTGTGAAATTGTTCCTTGTCATCTTTGTGATCTAGAACTGTCTGTTGTCTGGAGCTTCACCAATTGGTGCGTTATCAGCACTGTCCACTGAAAATTGGGGTGTTAAGTAGTTGTTGAAATGCGGACCTAGAGTCCTGTGTTGTGGCTCTGAGCAAGTGCCGCCGTCTTCTGGAAGACTTGGGAGCAGTGGTGTCAGGGTTGATTGAACTGGCTGAGGACAACAATAACGTTTCTCTTTCTCCACTCATAAGTGAGGTCCTTTGGCACTGAAGACCGTCCCACAGATAGGCCTGCGCCCCCCAGAGAGGAGATTTATGAGTACATCATTTTCCGGGGAAGTGACATCAAAGATATCACTGTGTGTGAACCTCCAAAAGCTCAGCACACACTCCCACAGGATCCCGCCATTGTTCAGGTAAGTGTGCCACTGTCCCTCTGTGCACACTAAGAGATGCTGGTTTCAATTTGGAGCTTGGTGGCATGTTTTGTCAGAATGCTCAATGTGAGGAATAACTTTTTTTTTTTTCCTTTGAGACGGAGTCTCACTGTGTTGCCAGGCTGCAGTGCAGTGGCGTGATCTCGGCTCATTGCAACCTCTGCTTCCTGGGTTCAAGTGATTCTCCTGCCTCAGCCTCCCGAGTAGCTGGGACTAACAGGCACGCACCACCACGCCCAGCTAAGTTTTCTATTTTTAGTAGAGACAGAGTTTCACCATGTTGGTCAGGATAGTCTCAATCTCTTGACCTCATGATCTGCCCGCCTTGGCCTCCCAGAATGCTAGGATTACAGGCATGAGCCAAAGTACTCGGCCTGAGGAATATCCTTTTAATGAAAAGTGGCTTATTTTTTGTCTAGGCCATTGCTGTTCTCGCGGAAGGTGTTGATTCTTGTAGCACACACAGTAGGTGGTGTGTGCTGTGTCTCATGGCTCTTAAGGAAGGAGACCTGGGGAGCTGGGCGTGCACGCGCGCGTGTGTAGTGTAGTGTAGTGTGAGTGCATGCTCCTGGACCTGTGATGTTTGGGGCATAGCGTTTGCCCTTAGTTTCTGGTTGGAGAAGTCTGAGCCCTCAGCAGCTGCTGTGAGTGGGGTGACATACCTGCAGGGACTGCGGGCTTGCCCTTGGGTTATGCCCAGATGTTACATGCTGCTGTTGTACGACACCAGATTTGTAAGTCTGATGCCACGTGCCTGCTTATTGGGTTATGGCTTATTTTGCCCATGCTCACACCAGGGAGCCCAGATTAATATTTTCTTCACTTTTAAACTTAAATATTCACTGGCTCCTCTGGGGTTCAGACTGCACCAGGTTCCGTGCCGAGCACCCGTCCTGGAAGGTGGGATCACACGGGGCAGGCTTTGGCAGCAGTGGGGAGCCATCCGATGGCTTTGAGTTAGGAGAAATTTGGGTTAGAATTACATGGACAAGACGCCTGTAATCTCAGCACTTTGGGAGGCCGAGGAGGGCAGATCATCTGAGGTCAAGTGTTCAAGACCAGCCTGGCCAACATGGCAAAACGCCGTCTCTACTAAAAGTATAAAAATTAGCTGGATGTGGTGGTGGGCATCTGTAATCTCAGGTACTCGGGAGGCTGAGGCAGGGAAAATCGCTTGAATCTGGGAGGCAGTGAGCTGAGATCACGCTGTTGCACTCCAGCCCAGGCGACAGAGCAATGCAATGTCTCAAAAAAAAAAAAAAGAAAGAAAGAAAAAAGAATTGCATGATTACATGGACAGGTGGAACTGGAACTGAAATGCTGTGGAAAAGGCAGCTCTCACCATACTGGAAACTGGTACCCCAAGGGTTCCTCCAGCATCTCAAGGATGCAGGCTGATGGGACAGTGCTTGTTTCCCAGCTGAACAAGCACTCTGATGCAGGCGTGTGGGGTGATGGGATGGCCTTCGCTGTTCTCACCCGATGTCTCATTGTTCAGTCTTCCTTGGGTTCTGCCTCCGCCTCGCCCTTCCAGCCGCACGTGCCTTACAGCCCTTTCCGAGGGATGGCGCCCTACGGCCCGCTGGCGGCCAGCTCCCTGCTCAGCCAGCAGTATGCCGCCTCCCTGGGTCTAGGTGAGTGACCTGTTTCTGTCTGGTAAACTACCCGTGCGTGTAACTGTCACTGAGTGGAGCGATGGAGCCTGAGAGTGGGGGCGTGCATTCTTGTCACGCTCAGCTTATAGACTGTTTTATTGCACACTTAGTAAATTACCCAGTGCAACTTCAGCTTGTGAGAGCATTTAGTAACTACTCAACTGAGAGTAAAAGAGGAGCGGCCTGAGTGTTGGAACAGAATAATCAAATCAAAATTCATTCGAAGAGTCAGGGTGGATCTAGGTGGAAGTCCTGGGCCAGGCATGGTGGCTCACGCATGGAATTCCAGCACTTTGGGAGGCCAAGGCAGGTGGATCATGAGGTCAGGAGTTCGAGACCAGCCTGGCCAACATGGGGAAATCCTGTCTCTACTAGAAATACAAAAATTAGCTGGGTGTGGTGGGACACACCTGTAATCCCAGCTACTTGGAAGGTTGAGGCATAAAAATAGCTTAAACCTGGGAGGCGGATGTTGCAGTGAGCCGAGATTGCACCACTGCACTCTAGCCTGAGTGACACAGCGAGACTCTGTCTCTAAAAATAAATAGGTGGAAGTCCTGGTATATC